CCCTGGGGGACAGACAACCGAAAACTGAGTGAAGGGAGACATTGGGTAATGTAAGACATGACAAAATAATAACTATTTATAAATTATCAAGGGTTCAGGAGGGAGGCAGGGTAATAGAGGGAGGGGGAATGAGGAGCTGATACCAGGGCTCACGCAGAAAGCACATGTTCTGAGAATGGCGATGGCAGCAGGTGTACAGTGTGCTGACACGACGGATGGGTGGTGATGAGTTGTATGAGCCCCGATACAATGATTTACAAAGGAAGAAGAGAGGAGCGACTGGCACAGGACTGTGCCAAGCAACCCGCAGGGAAGAAACACTTCCTGACGTGATTACGTTGCAAAGTCCAGGTTACCATTTGAAAGCCAATGTTCTGTGAAAACGGAAGATAACTACATGACATCAAAACCGAAGGAGGTTGCCATTGTGACACCGGTGCCAAATCCTTGAGAACCGTGGCTCAGTTACATTGATGTGTAACTTTAACCAGGGCAGCAGCATTACTGCAACCTAGCACCCGGGAGTTGGGAACAGCCAGATGTGTGTCATAAATGCCCCAAGTAGCCAGACAGTAGATTTTATTGTAAATATGAAATGTCTGATCAGGATATGCCAGCCAGGTAAGCAGTAGGTGTACTGATTTTTACTACAAGGAAGAATCTTGGAAACATTCTGTTAAGTGAAAAAAGCCAGTCATAAAGGACCACATGTTGTCTGATTCTATTTATATGAAATGTTCAGAATAGGAATTCATAGAGAAATATTTTGGTATAAGGAAGTGTATAAAGTTCTAGAGTTAGAAAACCAAAAAGAAAGAAGACGTTGGTGTAGCTTAAACCGAACGAACTGAAGGGGACAGACAGCACAGGAACGGAAGCCTCGATGCAGTACTGGGAATTCTGCACGGAGCGTGTCGGAAGAAGCCCAGTCGCTGTGCCCGAAGGGGAGGGACGTGCAGCTCTGTGCTCCCGTAGAGCGCTGCAGTCTCGGAAACCCACGGGGCAGGTGTGCACTGTTCTGTAGAGTCTCTGTGAATTGGAATTTTGGATTTCGGTTCCAAATTGAACTAGGCGACATTCCACCATTTCAAGAGTGGGGCCCTAACAAACCCTGAGAAGAATGGGAATTCCAGGACACTTAAGTGGGCTCATGTGGAACCTGTGCCTGGACCAAGAGGCAGTTGTACAAGCAGAACAAGGGACCACTGGAGGTTTAAAATCAGGAAAGGTGTGCTACAAGGCTGCGGCGGCTCGCCATGCTCATTCAGTCTGTATGCTGAACAGGTCTTCGGAGAAGCCGGACTGTGAAAAAGAGCGCAGCCCAGGATTGGAGGGAGGATTATTAACATCCTGGGACATGCAGATGACACAACCTTGCTTGCTGAAAGTGAGGGGGGCTGCTGATGAAGATCAAAGACGGGGCGCCTTCACTCACAACGCCTGTGTGCAGCAGATGAAACAGCCTTGGGTGTAGATTTTGACTCTGTAGAGAAAACCACGCTCCTCCCAATAGGGCCAGTGGGTAGCCTCACGACGAACCGAGAAGAGGCTGAAGTTGCCAACGACTTCATCGGCCATGGATCCACCATCGATGCTCACGAGGCCGCAGTCAAGAGATCAAATGATGCATTGCACTGGGTCAATCTGTGCACGAGAACTCTTCAAAGTGTTGAAAAGTAAGGATGTTTCTTTGAGGACTAAGGCGTGCTTGACCCAAGCCATGGTGTTTTCAGTCACCACGTACGCATGTGAAGGTTGAATATTAAATAAGGAAGACGGATGAAGCTGCTGGTGAAGAATACTGAAAGTATCACGGACGGCCAAGAGAACAAACAGACCTGTCTTGGAGGAGGTACAGCCAGCCTGCTCCTTAGAGCAAAGCTGTTGAGACCGGCTCACACATTTTGGACACGTGGTCAGGAGAGACCAGGCCCTGGAGGAGGACATCGTGCTTGGTAAAGTGGAGGGCGGCGAAAAAGAGGAAGGCCCTGAGAGAGATGGACTGACTGACACGGGGCGCCCCAACAGGACAAGATCGCGAGCCTGGCTGAGGAGCGGGCAGTGCTCCCTTCTGCTGTGCATAGGCCGCAGGAGTGCGGGCAGCTAGTGGCAGCAGACAGAAAGGACACCTGTGTTTGGGGGACAGGGAACTGGGGATTGGAGGAAATGGGAAATGGCTGCTAATGGATATGGGGTTCCTTTGGGGGTGATAAACCATGCTAAAATTGATTATGTAAATAGGCTAAAAATTATAATTACAAGGTTTTTGGTTTTTTTTAGTTTAAGGTCTATTTGTTGACCTTTAGGAGTGTTTTCCAGTCGAGTCTGATGGGGTGCATGCCCTGGCCCCAAAGTCTATTT